CCCCCCCTCCCCCCCCCCCTCCCCACACACACACGCATACAGCATACACACCACTACTCCCTCTCATGCCTTCCTTGTCCAGCTCACCTGTTGTCCGTGTTGCAGCTGTGGGCAGCTTCCGAGTGTATCGGACCCAAAAGTGGCCACTGTTTGTGGCACTTTGCACAGCTCTCGTTACCCTTCCGGTGGCACTCTTTGCCCTCTTTGCCTCTGCCAGTACCACATCATCATGTGATGGTCTGATGGACAATTATTTGTTTGTCACTGGTGTTGGCCTCGGTCTCTTGGCTTTGATCTCTGCCATCGATGTGTACATGGCCGAAGCTGGAAGAGCTGTTCTTCGTACTCTCCATGCTGTCCAGCTCGAGGAGACCATGATGATGGCAGCCGCGGCGGCTCAGGCTTCGGCGGCTTGGGTCGGCCTCATGCGATTTCCCATGGTCCTTGTTCATCTCGTGCGCGAGCTCATCAAAGTCGCCATTCCGCCCGCTGTCCTTGTCGGCATCTGGCTCATCCGCAGGTGTGGGGAGCCGCCTGCCGGCGCTGTTCGCACCGACCCTGTGGTCGAGCATGCCGTCGTCGCCGTCGTCGCCTACGGCATCGTCGCTTGTCTAGTTCACGCTGCGGCAGAAGCCGTCTCGGCACTCAGGATCGGTCCATACTGGCACTCGGACGTCCACATGGCGACGCTTAAGAAAGCGCTCCTCGACGCCGCCACCCTTGCCTCGGCCTGCCGCGAGGGGCCCGAGCACACACTCCGGCCCGAGGCGCGGGCGGCAGCCATTCCGTTTGCCGACGACAACGAGGCCGGGCGTGGAAGCGGGAGCGTGACTACGTCGCGCGACCCGACGCTCATCGGCATCCAGCACACGTTTGTGACCTCGACGGTCAAGGGCGTCTCGTTCTGCAACGTCTGCACCAAGGCTGTCCGTGGCCTCGGCGCGTCGGGTCTCGAGTGCTCGTGCTGCGGTTACGTGGTCCACGCCAAGTGTGTGGCCGACGCCGACGCACGGTGCAAGGTGTACGTGGCGCACGCGCACATCGATGCCTCGCTCACCGGCGCGGGCTCGTCCGAGGTCCTCGCCCTGCCCGACGGCACTAACGCGCCGCTGGAGCACCTGTGGGTGGCGGGCAACTGCCCCGGGCGAGTCCCATCGACCTGCATGGTGTGTTACAAGTCGACGGCGTCAGCGCGCGGGCTCAAGCACTACCGCTGCGCCTGGTGCCAGGCAACGGTCCACGAGAGCCACCTCGCCGACGCTCCACGGAGCTGCTCTCTCGGCATCCACGCGCCGCTCATTGTGCCACCGGGCGCAGTCGGGCTCGAGACCGATAACGCCGGCGAGGTCAAGTACGTCATGCGGCCGGTTGCCGGCGCCCGCCCACTGCTGGTGTTCATCAATCCCAAGGCTGGCGGGCGCCAGGGTGAGGCTCTCTTCCCGGTCTTTCAGCAGCTGCTCAATCCGGCACAGGTCTTCGACCTGATGAAGGGCGGCCCGGCGCCAGGCCTCCGCGCCTTCCGCGGCTGCACCAACTTTCAGATTGTGTGCGCCGGCGGCGACGGGACCGTCGGCTGGATCATGCAAGAAGTCGACAAGGCCGAGCTCGGGGGCTACGTCCCGCCCATTGCAGTCATTCCGCTGGGAACCGGCAACGACCTCGCGCGCTCGCTCGGGTGGGGTGGTGGCTACGAGGGTGAGGATGTTCACGACATTCTCGTCGAGATGGCGCACGGCCGCATCTACCCGCTCGATCGGTGGCAGCTCTCAGTGGCCGGTGTTGACGGCTCGGGCTCGGACGAGTCGGCGGCTGGCGCCGTCGCCTCGCACAACACCTCTTCGGTCCTCAACAATTACTTTTCCATCGGCCTCGACTCCAAGCTCGCACTCCAGTTCCATACCGCCCGCGAGGCCAACCCGGGCAAGTTCTCGTCGCGGCTGTACAACAAGTACTACTACGGCAAGGTCGGCTCCAAGCAGCTCCTCACCGGGTGCGGCGAGACCCTGCTCGCCCAAGTCATTACCCTCACCGTCGATGGCCGCCAGATCGACCTCGGCAAGGCGCAAGGCCTCATGGTCCTCAACCTGCCGTCGTACGCCGCAGGCTGCAACTTTTGGGGCTCGTCACCGCGTGCGCCGTGGAAAGTCGCCGCCACCGACGACGGCCTCCTTGAGGTCGTTGCCATCACCTCGGCTTTCCACCTCTCGCGCTGCGCGTCCAAGAAGCGCTGGGTCGGCGCCCCGATCCGCCTCGCCCAGGGCGCCTCGATCGTCATCGACCGCCTCCCGGACGCGCCGCCGCTGCCCATGCAGGTCGACGGTGAGCCGTGGGCCCAGGACTTTACCTCACTCGACATCTCGTTCCTCAACCAGGCCCACATGCTCACCCACCCCGAGCGGGCCATCGTTGTCGCCCAAGAGATCGTCGTCGAAGACGCCGCAACCAGAGCTTCAGGGCCGCCGCAGCCTCGCCGCCCGGCTACTGCTCCCGCACCGCAGCCGCCTGCCGAAGACGACGACCACTCGTACGACTACGCATACGAATCGTACGAGTCGGTCGGCGATGCCCGAGTGTGACGCTGTTGGCAGGTTGTCAATGGCAGGAAAGTGACACACAAACGTTCACCTGTCAACAGCACTACTCCACCACCACCACCACCACCACCACCACCACTTTCCAACCCACACGCTGCACCTACCACCCATCAGGCGTGCAGATTCCCTTCCCGCCACATCGACTTGCATACAATCAGTTAACCCCACTTACCCGCCTATGTGTAGGTGTGGGTGTCACGGAGGGGGAGGAGCCTACCATTTACCGAGAAAAAATAGTCGCCGCTGACCAACAAACGCTTTTTCCCGCGTTTGCCAGCTGTTCTTTGCCCGCACAAGGATTTGTGACACTCCAACACACCTCACTCACACCTCACACACCCTCACACACCCCTCCAGCCCCCCTCCTCCCCACTGACAGGCAAAGGTATACCTTTGCATACCTCCTCTCTCTCCCTCCCTCCCGTAGTCAACGTACGACATGAGTGGTGATCCGTCCGAGTACTCAGTGGTGGCGGAAGCGCTGAAAAGGTTCGGTCGACCCGAGCTGCTCTCTCTGGCCAAAGTAGCCGAACTGCGGAATGATGTACTTCCGCTCATCACCGCCGAACAACTCGCTTCGCTCGCTGGCCTTCCTCTCGGTGTCGCCGTGCACATTGTTGCCTCTGTCGCCTCATCGACTGCCGCTGGCGCCTCGACGACGGCTGGCGCTACGGCGGCGGCTGGCAAGTCGGACTCGTCATTGCCCTCGCTCTCCCGCAGCGTCTCGCGGCAGATGACCGAGCGGTTCACGGTAGAGGTGGCGACTGGGCGTGTCGAGTTGGCGGCCGAGGAAAGCGATGGAAAGTCGTCGCTGCCGCAGCTGTGGACGTCTGGGCGCAACCATGCTGTGGTGCGGGTGAACGCCGCAGCGTTGGAGATGCTCGGCGCAGGCGGCGTGGACGAGCTCGAGGGTAAGGTCCTCGCAGATCTGGTGCCGCCCGAGTATGGCCATGCGCTGGTGCTGATGCAAGAAGGCTTGCAGCGTGTAGAGGGCGTGTATGGGCCGGTGCGGATCGAGGTGGCGGTGGGCAGCGAGTCGCGTCGGTTCATGGAGCACTCGGCCATTGCCATGGACGACGCCACGGCCATGCACCTGTTCAACCCGGTCGATGTAGGATCGGGCAGCGAGTCGGGCACGGCGGCGGCGGCGGTGCAGGACGAGCAGACCGCGCGGCTCCTTCTGGATGTCTTCTCGCGGGCAGGCAACGTGCACGACAAGACCGAGCGCGGGCTAGAGATTGTGGGCCGGCGGCTGGGAGTAGACATGGCTATTTTCTCGCGCGTTGTTGACGAGGTCTACGAGGTCATGGCCAACTGGGATGCGTCGGGCGGGCTCAAGGACGGCATGACGTTCCCGCTCGGCAACACGTACTGCTCGATCACGCTCGCGACGGCGTCGCAGGTCTCGATTCCGGTCTGGTCGTCGTCGCCGTACCGGATGCACCCGTGCTTTGAGGCCTTTCAACTCGAAGCGTACATCGGAACGCCTGTCGAGTCGCAAGGCAAGACGTTCGGCACAGTCAACTTTACCTCCAAGTCTCCGCGAGCTGTGCCGTTTACCGAAGGCGAGCGGTACGTGGTCAAGCTGCTGGCGATGCTTGTGGGGCGGGCGCTCGACGAGGCCGCGCTCGACCAGGCGCTGGCGGACCTCGCAGCTCTCAACGACTCGCTCGACCTCAAGGTCCAGGAGCGGACGGCGGCGCTCGAGGTGATGGCCGCCAAGGCGCGCGAGGCGTCCGAGGCCAAGTCGCACTTTCTGGGCGTCGTCTCGCACGAAATTCGCACTCCGCTCCATGGCATGTCGGCCATGATCGACTTTCTCCACGACACGCAGCTCGACGAGACCCAGACCCAGTTTGTGGACACGGCGCGATCCGAGGTGGCCAACCTCCGGACGCTTGTCGAGTCGATCCTCACCTTTACCCGTGCGTCGGACCCTGCGCGCGAGCTCGAACGCGGCCAGCTGGCGCTCGGCGAGGTTGTCCGCTTCAAGCCGGGCGAGATGCTGGAGCAGGCCGTCCGTGTGCTCGAGCCCAAGGCTGCAGAGGTCAATGTCCAGCTTCGGCTGGAGCTCGGGCGTGCGCTGAAGGCCGGGAAGGATGTTGCGCAGGCGCGCGGTGCGCTCTCGCGGATTTGTCTCAACCTTGTGGAGAACGGTATCAAGTACCGCCGCAAGTCGGGCGTCGAGCCGTTTGTGACCATTTCTGGCGGCCTCAAAGCGGGCAAGGACGGCCAGCCCCAGCTGGTTATTCAGGTCCACGACAACGGCGTTGGCATGTCGCAAGCGGTCAAGGACACGGCCTTTGAGCCGTTTTCGCAAGGCCGTATGGACCACCAACGCGAGTACGGCGGCCTTGGCCTCGGCCTCTCGATCGTCAAGCAGCTGGCAGACGCCATGGGCGGCAGCATCGAGCTCATCTCGGACGTTGGCTTGGGCACAACGGTGACCGTCACTGTGCCGGCGCAGGCCGAGAACTCTAACCCAGACGCCAATGAGCACGATCTTCGCAACATCAGCGCGATCGACTTTACCGACTTGGATGCCTCGACCGAGCAGACCGACGAAGACGAGGGTGATGGCAGCGCGTCGCCAGCGGCCGTCGGCTCGGACGGCAAGCCGCTACTCAAAGTGCTGATGGTCGATGACGTGCTGACCAACCGGCTCATTGTCTCGCGGATGCTCATGCTCTACCCGGACGCCTCGTGCGACGTTATGGAGGCTGTCGATGGCACCAAGGCGCTCAAGCAGATCCGCGCCCTCTTGCCCTCTGTCTACGACGTCATCCTCATGGACGTTTCCATGCCGCTCATGAACGGCCTCGACGCCACTCGCCACATCCGCGAAATCCCCGAGTACGCTGACGTGCCGATCATCGGCGTCTCAGCTGCCGCCGCCGAGAAGGAATGTCTCGAGGCCGGCATGACGTTCTTCCTTGCCAAGCCGTTCTCGCATGAGGTCTTTGCCGCAGTTCTCCGCGCAAACGTGCGAAGGTGATGAAGCCAACCGCCCCCTCCCGCCACGTGTCTTTGCTGTGCTTTTTCATTCATTATTTCAGCCCTCGACAATGATGTCGGCCGCGACGGCGAGCGCCGAGTCGAGAAGATAGTCGCCGCGGTTTGACCGGAGGTGGGCAAGGGTCGCTTCGGCGAGGACGTCAGGAGCAATCTGGGACACCCCGTGCGGGGCAGCACCGGTAAAGACAAGCGAGAAGCCGGAGAGGAGATCGAGGCTGACGGTGGGACCCATGGCGCCGCCGGATGCGCCGTCGGCGACGATGACACCGAGCGAGTGCTCGCGGACGAGATGGAGCCAGAGCTCGGTGGCGCCAACGGCGCCAGCAGAGGCGAGAGTGACGAGCTTGACGCCGCGCGAGGCGAGACGGCCCATCCACGGTGCGCCGCCGATGTACCACTGCGAGGCCTCGAGTGCGTGCGACCGCGGGTGGGCCGGCGCCGGAAAGTACATGGCCGGCGCGGGCAGGCGGGCCGCGGAGGAGAAAAAGGCTTGTGCGATGAGGGCAAGGTCGAGACCGGCCGGGTGGCGGACGTCGACGACAACGACCCGGACAGAGTCAAGTGTCCCGGATTCCATCCACTCTGTCCAGAGCTGTGGCGTGAGCTGAGCGGCAGCGATGACAGCGACGCCCGGGCGCGGAAACGAGAGCGGCCCAGAGGCAACGACGCGATGGAGGCGGGAGATCTTGAGCGAGCGGACGAGGATGCGGGGAGAAGTGGGACGGCCTGGGCCCGGGTCGACCTCTACCCGTAGCGGCTGGTGCTTTGTGCCGAGCGTCAGCTGGGCGAGAACGCGCGAGACCATGTGCTCGCGGGTGGATGCAGAGACGTAGACAGCGAGCTCCTGGAGAAGTTCAGCGGCGGGCACACCCTCGAGGGTGACGATGACGTCGCCGACGGCAAGGTCACAGCCCGGGTAGATCCGGGTGACGACAAGCAAGCCGTCGATCCAGCGCCACTCAAAGGGGAGGACGTAGAGGCGGCGGGCGTGCGAGACGTGCGAGACGCTGGCCTGGCCATCGAGGACACGATGGACGGCGTGGCGGAGGGTGTCGAGAAAAGCGTCGAGCGAGTCATCGACAGCGGCATCAAGGAGGGTGTCGGTGAGGACAGCCCGCCACTCGGAGGAGAACATGGGATCGGGCCACTGGGCGGCGACGGCCGGCGAAAAGTAGGTGAGCGCTGTCCACATCTCGACAACAATGGTGAGCCGGGCGTAGAGCGAGAGCGCGGTGGGGAGGTAGAGGGCGTCAACGGCGGAGATGCGGAGACCACCGTCGTCGTCTTCGACAAAGCCATCACCCACCAGATCACTGTCGGACGAGTCGGACGAGCGCGCGCCGTCGCCGTAGGCAGCCTTGGCAAGGAGGGCGTCGGCGTGGCTGGCGACGGTGTCCGGAGCCGGCGGGCCGGCATCTGCTGGCAGTGTAAAGCCTGCGGCGTTGACATAGACAACGGTTGGCAGAGCCATGCCGATGCCGCGACCGATGTCCTCAGCGATGTAGTGCGAGCGCGGGTCGGCCGGATCGAAGGCGTGGCGCCATGAGGTGGCCGGACGCGCGTGGAAGGACTCGGCTTGCGGCGAGAGCTCGGGTGAGGTTGACGGCGGCGGCGCCGGCGGGAGCTCTTCGGCGGTGAGGACGACAAAGGCCTTGCTCTCTGGCCGGGACTGGGACGAGGTCGAGTAGCGGATGCGCGAGTCGGCCTCAGGTGCGGACGGCTGCAACTGCCAGCCGACGAGCGAGTTGTCGGCCATGTCGAGGTTGACAAAGTGGTCGCGACCGTCAACAGCAAACGAGGCCGAGGTGGCAGGAACTTCAAAGTGCGGAGCGACAAGCTCGAGGGTGCCGATGCCCTTGAGCAGAAAGCCAATGACAAGAGTGGCAGCATCGGCAGGGACGCGGCCCTGGATGTGGTACTCGGTAAAGGGCGTGGTGCCCGAGATGGGCTCGTCGTCCATGGCCTCGAGCGAAAGGTAGAGGCCGGCGTGGGTCACGACGCCGACGATCATGTGGACAACAACACGACCGCGAGTGGCGAGAAAGGCTGAGAAAAGGTACGGCGCGCCAGCAAACGGCGTGGCGTCGGTCTCTTGCGCCAGTAGCGCAGAGTACGGTGGGGTGGCAAGGGCGGCCGACCGGGTCAGCCGAGCTGACGAGAAGAACGACGACGGCGGGCCGAGCCCACGCACGCCAAGCCCGTGGTGTCGCCAGCGAACGGCATCTGCGGCTGCAGCATAGTCGGCGCGCATGTCAAGGCTCATAGCCTCTTGTGGCGTGTCGACGTAGATGGCGAGGAGCGGGGCAGCCGGGCCAAAGAGCATGGCGAGGGCGGCGGCGAGCTTGGTAGGCGTGATGGCGTGGAGGGCCTGGACGACCCCCGAGTGTAGGAGCTCATCCCACGGCGTGGCCGCCGCCTCGTCGGAGGGGTGGAAGAAGCGGAGTACAGCGTAGAGATGGGCGAGCACGGTCATGTTGAGCAGCTGAATCTCGTTGAGCGGCGCCGGCGGAACAAGGAGGTGCTTGAGAGCGCCAAAGGAGCGGAACTGAAGCGAGCGAAAGGCAACCCGGACATCAGCGTCCGGTGCCACCCAGTGGAGGCCCGGGACAAGGCATAGGCCGATGGTGATGTATAGGGCCGAGTCCGAAACAGGCGCGATGACCAGAAGCTCAGCCTGAGGCGCGGCCTCCTCCAGCACCGGCGAGAGGGCAGTGTTGAAGACAAGTGGCGTGAGCGGAGCACCGGCACCATCGACCCTCACAAACAGCGCGCCCGCGCCTGCAGCCACGGCACGATCCCTCATGACCGCCGCTGGAATCAGCACCGACATTCGCTGAGCGCCACCGGCGCCAACCTTGCCCACCACCGACTGCATCCGCTTGAGGCCCGGCGGCCTATGTGGTGACGATGACGACGACCCAGCAGAGGCAGCGGTGACGGAAGGCGTGGTGGCGATCGATGCAGAGGACAAGGCAGAAGGAGCGAGGAGAGCCGTAGCGCGAAAGGCGACAAAGGAGCCACGAAAGGAACGAGCATCAAAGGACTGGATGATCATGGGTGGATGGTGTGCCGTGCGATCTGTGTGTGTCCGACCGAGAACGACAGCCAAAGTGCGGGCGGAGGGCAAGCCAGCTTCCCCTGGCCCTGGCCCTGGCCCTGGCCCTGGCCCTGGCCCTGGCCCTGGCCCTGGCCCTGGCCCTGGCCCTGGCCCTGGCCCTGGCCCTGGCCCTGGCCCTGGCCCTGCGACATGGCGAGTTGCGTATGGGTGCTGGGCGGAGTGTGCCACACTGCAGGCCGACTCTTCCCGCTCTTGCTCTCCAGTATCAAGTTCTGTGGTCCCTCGCCTATCGACGGTGAGAAGAAGAGGATGGCATGTGACGAGGGAGTGGTCATGCCAGGGGGGGGGAGGGGGGGGGAGGGGAGGTGGTGAGTGAGGTGATCGATCGTGATCATGATCATGATCATGATGGCCAATCGTGATCGTGCTCGATCGCAATCATAATGCTCGCCGTGATCGTGATCGTGATCGATCGTGATGGTGATCACGCATGGTCAATCGATGGTCGATGGTCTACTGGAATATAAAGGAAGATGATGGAGTGGTGTGGAGGGAGAAGAGAGAGCAGCAAGAGCTGCAGGGCAGTGGTTGGAGTGATCGAACAAGAGCGGCTCTCGTGCTGATCTTGCAGGGGCGGCAGGTAGCGTAGCTGAAGGCCGCAGAGCGAGAGGGTTAGGAGTGTGAGCAGGCAGAAACCTTTCTCCGGGCATGAACCAGCTTTGTTGCAGTTCTACAGAGTGTCGATGGCGTGAGGAAGGTCGCGATGGGTGGCAATGGGCGCGATGGTCGCTGAGCAACAGGGCACAACAAAAAGACAGATCATGTTTTTCGCGTCGGACAGAGGCATTGCGGTGACATAGTAAACATTGGGCGACGTTTTGGCGGCGATGGAAATGTCGATGGCTGCGGCCAGCGATCTTTGCAAGGGGCCGGAGCAGCCAAGGCGTGTGGTGTTCGTAGTGTGCAAAACATGGATTTACGCAGTGCTGGTGAGAGCAAAGCTAGTCGATGTCGATGTCGTCCCAGTCGATGTCAAGCGGGGCTGACTCGATCTTGTCGCCGGTGCCATCCCACGGCTCGACGTCCGCGAGCGAAGTAGCGGCGAGCTCAAACTCTGCGGTCGGCTCCTTGCCGCGCTGGAGACGGTCGATGAACGAAGTGAGGCCGTCAAGCGAGACTGCGCCCCGGAAGGTGGCGTAGCGCGACTTGCGGACGTTGACAGCGACGACGGCCGGGTAGCCGGCGTCCATGCGGAAGGCCTGCTCGAGAGTCGGCTGCTGGAGGGCAGACGACCAGATCCAGCCAAAGCGCGAGGCGGCGCGCTTGGCAGAGAGGGTCTTAAAGACGTCGAGCAGGACGTTGCGGCCGTCGGCTCCGGTCTCCTCGACAGGTGGAACGACCATGACGAAGCAGAGCTTGCGATCGGTGCATTCGGAGGAGAAGACCGAGCCCGAGGTGAGCTCTGTGAGGACGGTCGGCTTGTCGACGAGGCTAAGCGCGTAGCTCTCGATGGCCGAGGCGGAGCGCTGACCCTGGTACGGCACAGGCTCGCCGTCGTCCGAGGAGCCAAAGACGACAATGGTCGGGTAGCCCTGGACGTTGTAGCGGGCGGCGAGCTGGGTGTAAACGGTGGCGTCGACGGCGCCGAGCTTGACCTTGCCATCGAGGGCAGCGGCGGCCTTTTTCCACTCGGGCTCGAGTGCCTTGCAGTGGCCGCACCATGGGGCAAAGAACTCGACCATCCACACCTCGCCCGAGTCGATGACGAGCTCGTCAAAGTTGGACTCGTCAAGGTGGACAACGGCGTCGGCCTTGCCCTTGCTCTTGCTCTTGCTCTTGCTCTTGCCCGAGCTTCCACCGCGGAGCCGCGAGCGAACGAGCTTCTTGGCGGCGTCGAGACCGGCGGCGACGATGGCATCGGCCGTCCGGCCGCCGTTGTAGTCCTCGGGCTGCGAGGTGGCCGTCGAGAAGATCTTGATGGTGGGGAAGCCCTGGATGCCGAATCGGCCAGCGAGATCGCGATGGGCATCGGCATCGAGAGCGGCGACAGTGACCACGCCCTTGAGTGCAGAGGCGGCCTTCTTCCACTCGGGCGTCAGCGACTTGCAGTGGCCGCACCACGGGGCGAAGAACTCCAGGAGGACAGGTCCGTCGGCATTGGTCACCACTGCGTCAAAGTTGGAGGGCGTGACGACGACCACATCGTCGCTGCTCGAGTACAGTCCGTAGCTGGCTGGTATGAGGAGGGTGAGTGTGAGGAGGACGACAGCAGCTGCTGCTGCGATGACCCGCATGCTCATGCTGGTGTTCGTGAAGACAAGTCGAGTGGAGTGTGTGTCTCTGGTGAGGTCAGCTGTTTTTAGGTGATTGTTTGTTGATGGGACTGATCGAATGCGAGGGATCGGTGGCGAGGGCTACGAGGGATCGGTGGCGAAGGCTACGAGGGATGGGTGGCGAGGGCTACGACTGATTGGTGGCGAGGGCTACGACTGATCGAATGCGAGGGCTACGACTGATCGGTGGCGAGGGCTACGAGGGATCGGTGGCGAGGGCTACGACTGATCGGTGGCGAAGGCTACGACTGATCGAATGTGAGGGCTACGAGGGATGGGTGGCGAGGGCTAAGACTGATCGGTGTCGAGGGCTACGACTGATCGGTGGCGAGGGCTACGACTGATTGGTGGCGAGGGCTACGACTGATCGGTGGCGAGGGCTACGATTGATCGAATGCGAGGGCTATGATTGTTTGTTGATGGGAATAATCGTTGGCCAAAATCCGTCGCCTTTCAGCCGTTGGCAGACAACGGCCGTTGAGCGCGGCAGCCACCGACAACGACAGCGACGGAGCAGCAAAGACGGGACAGACTTGACTCACGGGCCGGATGGGCAAGAAGGGCAGCAGCAGCAGCAAGAAGAAGAGCAACGGCTCCAAGACTACCAAGAAGGCCTATGGGGAGCACTCGGCCTCGGAATCGCCCGACACGGTGACCTACGTGGCGCGCAAGTCCAAGGGCAAGTCCAAGGGCAAGTCCAAGAGCAAGTCCAAGGGCAAGTCCAAGGGCAAGTCCAAGGGCAAGTCCAAGGGCAAGTCACGTGACGTTGCATCGTCGAGCTCTGGCTATGGTCATGGCTTTGCTGTTGAAGATCCGAATGCCTTTGCTGCCTACGCATCGCGGCTTTATGCTACGGCGGCGGCCAACGGCGGCGCGGCTGGCGGTGGTCCTGGTATGATGATGTATGGTGGCGGACTCTCGCCGCAGGCTGCTGGTGCTGCCGTCGAGCAGATTCTTTACGATCTCGGCGCAGAGACCTCGTCGTCGGCTGTGGAGCACATTCTGCGGAGCGCGCACTTTCCGCTCACAGAGGCCGGTTTTGTCGCCCTTGCTGCCGAGGTTGTCGCCTCGTCACAGGCGCCTTCGGGCCGCCGTCGTCGTCGGCGGCGGCACCACAGCTCGGGCTCGTCAACGACCGCGTCGTCCTCGTCGTCGGGCTACTCGTTCCTCGACCACGGTCCGCAGCGGGCTGGTGCGCACGCGCCATACTACCCGGCGGCGGCTGGCCACCCGTATGGCGGCGGCGCACCGGGCTACGCACCGGGCTACGGTGGCGGGATGAGCAAGGAGCAGCGGAAGCAGATGCACAAGTGGGAGAAGGCCCGCACAGCGGCAGCCGCCAAGGCTGCCGAGGCACAGGCTGAGGCAGCAGCGGCGGCGATGGAGGCGCGGGCCGAGGCCGTGGCCGCCGAGCAGAAACGGCGGACCAAGGTGGCCAAGGAGCAGGCCAAGGCGGCGCGGGCCATGGCCGACGCCCGGGTCGACGCCCATGCCAAGCGCATTGCGGCCGAGGGCAAGCGGCTCCGGAAGCGCATCGAGTTTGTGGCCAAGGAGACCGAGAAGCGTCGTGACGCAGCTCAGGAGGCCCAGCTGCGGGCCGAGGCTGCTGCAGCGCGGGTGGCCGAGAAGCGCCGGCTGTACGAGGTCGAGCGCCGCGAGGCGCTTGCTGCGCAGATTGTCGACGCTCACGAGGCCCGTATTACCGCCGCCAAGACCGCGTGGAAGACCGCGCGCGAGGCGCACGACGAGCGCGTCGCTGAGGCTGCCAAGCTGCAGAAGAAGGCGCGCAAGGCCGCGCGCAAGGAGGCCGAGCGCCGCGCCGAGCTCATCGAGCACCAGCGCGAGGCCGCCGCCAACATGGCTGCCGAGCGCGCCGAGGCTGCCCTCGCCCACCGAAAGGCCGCCGCCGAGGCCGCCCGCGCCGCCGCCGACGAGCGCGCCGCTGCCATGGCCGCTGCTGCTGCCGCCGCCGCAGACCACCGTGCCAAGGCCGAGAAGGCTGCCGCCGCCCGCGCCAAGGCCTATGCCGACGCCGTCGCCGAGCGGCAGGCCGCCGCCGAGAAGGAGCGCAAGCGTCAGGCCAAGGCCCAGGCCAAGGCCATGGCCGCCGCCGAGAAGGAGCGCAAACGCCAGGCCGCCGCCTATGCCAAGCAACAGAAGCGGATGATGAGGCAGAACAATGTCCGCGCTCGCCACGGCCGCTACCCGGTCGGCTACGCTGTCGACTCATCATCATCGTCGTCGTCGTCGTCGTCGTCGTCGTCGTAGTTTCCTGTTTACTCGCACCACATCACACAGTCTCGAGCTCCACGGCCTTAAAGTACTCGTCCTCGGGTACGCCGGCGAGGTCCGATGGGTAGATGCCGCGGTCGGCCATCTCAGCCTTGACCCGCTCAAAGTAGGTCTCGTCCGGGTAGCCAAACGAGGTGGCACCGCCGTACGTGTTGGTCTTGGCATGGATACCAGCCCAGACAACGCAATCCTCGCAGCCAGTCGTCACCGAGGTGCCGACGGTGAACATGTGCCGGCGGATAAAAGCGAGGCGGAGGAGGCCGAGAACCTCGCGGCCCTCGGGTGTGTCCGGCAGATAAGCCGCCCGGTAGGTGCCGTAGTACGGGCGGCCCGGGTGGTAGTGCGCCTCGGTCTGGGTTCCGTCCGGAAACGAGTACGAGATCTCGATGGTGCCGTCCGACTCAAAGCCCGAGATCGGGTTGTCGCCCGGCGGGTAGCGCGAGACCCGGAACGTGCCGCCTGGCATGTTGCCGATGAGCGTGCCACAGATGGCACCACAGACGGGGCACTTTTGCGTCCCGCACTCGATCCAGCGTGTAATGCACGCCCGATGAAAGTAGTGCTTCCAACCGCATGGCGCGAGGCGGACAAGCGCGCCATCGCCGGGCGCCTCAAAGTGGCCGATCTCGTGCACATCGTCCATGCACACCGAGCACGTCTCGACATGATGATTGTCTTTGCCGTGGATAGCGCCCTCGGCATGGACACCGTCCGGGTACACAAACGCCTCGACACCGTCGGCGAGCGAGATGGCGTTGAGCGAGTTGGTGGCAAAGTCGACAAAGGCCGAGTTGGGGTACGCCAGCGAGATGACGACGGGCCAGCTGATATCGTCGAGCGTCTTGGTGCCCATAATTTCGAGCGATGCCTTGTCCTTCCCGCTGCTCAGCTTGTCCACCATCGCTCGGCTCAGGCTCACCCGCACCACATCGTCGTTGGCAAGGCCGAGCTCAGCCTCGATGACCACCTCAGTATTGACCTCGACGCTCCCGTTCGCCACCAGCTCGTGTGTCTCTGCTTCTCCGAGCTGTGTCACCTGTGCCAGCCATTCACCCAGTGTCGTGCTTGCCATGTTTGTGTGTGTGTGTGGGGGGGGGGGGTGAGGTGCCGGGGGGGAGAGGTGAAAGGAAGGGGAATGGAACAGGTTGTGTGGCTGGCGGGAACGATTGTTGAAACGAGAGTTAATCGAGTGATTGTGTGGCTGGCGGGAACGATTGTTGAAACGAGAGTTAATCGAGTGATTGTGTGGCTGGCGGGAACGATTGTTGAAACGAGAGTTAATCGAGTGATTGTGTGGCTGGCGGGAACGATTGTTGAAACGAGAGTTAATCGAGTGATTGTGTGGCTGGCGGGAACGATTGTTGAAACGAGAGTTAATCGAGTGATTGGGTGTGTGGCGGGAACGATTGTTGAAACGAGAGTTAATCGAGTGATTGGGTGTGTGGCGGGGAACGATTGTTGAAACAAAAGTTAATCGAGTGATTGGGAGTGTGTGTGTGTGTGGGGGGGCGGGCACGCCAACCAACTCGTCTCCACCTTCCATGGCCTCAACCTCAGGTGGTACGCCCCCTCCCTCCCCTCCTTCCCCTCCTCCCCCTCACCCCCCACCCTCACTTACTCCTCTTTACACACCGCAGTTGACTACGCTGAGATTGGTGGCCGCGTCCAGCTGGTGGTTGGTGAGCACGCCGTCGGCTTTGCTCTCTCATCGCTCCCACCTGATCTGCACCGGCCGCAGTATGTCGAGTGTGAGCCGCTGTACGAGTGTGCCGCGGAGAGGGCGTACCTAGCTGCTTTACCGAACGATCCCGATCTGCGTCAGCGAGAAGCCGAGCAGTCACTCGCCATGTTTGCCTCCTCGTCCTCGTCAAAGGGCCTCACGCCGCCGGCCAGACGATCGCCGCACCCTTCGTCGACATCCTCCACTCCTCGCGGCCTGCTCATCGAGCTCGATGATGTCCCTCCACCCGCGAGCTAGCTGCCGCATACTTACCTGATCTCATCCTCCATGCCCACTCTCCTGCACGGCAAGCCCATCTTTACCTTCCCTCTCCTTTGACTGGCCAGCTGCTGCCGCCGCCAGTACAGCGATCAGAGCGCACTGGTCCTTCCACGGTTGTTGAACGTGGCAAACGCAGCCCTGTTGTGGATGGAAGATGGTACAGTCTTTGCGTAGTGCGCCTCGATGGCGATGGGAGTGAGCGGGCCGGCCGACGCGTAGATCGCCGCCACCAGAATCCCAGCTGCCACGAATACCTCGGCCACCACATCCATCGGCAGGCCCGAATACTCTTCGTGCGCCAACCTCAGATGGTGGCGATCTATTCACACCCGTACATCCACCGCCAACCGGCCAACCACCACCGGCCGCTCACCCCTCCTCCCCGCATCTTGAGGATCACCACACCAGAGACCACTCATCACCTATCAATCAGCCATAAACCTTCCTTTGTCGTCGGCCCCTTCATCCCCCTCGCATCCTCTCAGCCTCCCTTGACCCCGACCCCATCCCTTGTCGGTCCTCTCAGCCCCGACCTTCTCCTCCCCCACTCCCCCCCCCCCCCTCCCCTCCCTCCCGCCCCCCTTCCCTTCCCCCCCCCCTCTCACGTACACTGCACCGTGGAGTAGGCAGCATGGGCAAGGAGAACCCCCCCCCCTTCCCTCCCTCCCCCGCCGTCATCAAGCCTCTTCGTACTCTCCCTTCGCGCATGTCTCCTGCACCCCATCATCACCACCACCTTTCACCAAATCCTCGCTACTTCTTTGTCACCTACATGTTCTTCATCAGGATGATCTTGCTGCACTCGATTAACCTCGTGCAGGCGTCGGGCACTCGGCAGGCAGAGTGACGACGGAGCATAGAGCGGGGAACCGGGGAGGGGAGAGGTTGGAGGGCAGAGCGCGGGGCGGTGATACTCGACTCGACTCGATTCGCCTCGGGGCATTTGGGTGACTGATGGGCATGGCCAGAGGAAGCAGACGGCGTACAGGACTGAAGCGAGTGTCACGGGTGATGCACTCGATGTGTATGGCGACGTGGGTGTTGGCCTTGGTCAGCCTTGGCCTCGTTGTCACTCCCCCTTCGGCCACTGGCCAGAACATCACCATCTACGGGCTTCGTTCGCCTCCATTTGTCATCCAGGCGGGAGATGAGGGTCAGGTATGTGTCTCTTAACACAGCTAGCTTGTGTCGAGGAGCCAAAGGAGGAGGCAGCGGGCTAGCGAGGCGGTTGTGTGTGTCTGTGGGGCGGGGCGACGAGGACTGACAATTGCGAGTCGTTGGTGGCTCCCGTGGCGGATTTTTCGAGTCGGGCAGTTTATTTCTGGACACGATTTGGATGTGTGGAAGAACATGTTTGCGCAGATGGTGGCGAGGAATGGCAACTTGTCGTACTCGGTCGAAGTCATGGCTACGCTCGGAGATGTGCAGAACGCGGTGGCCATCGATGAGTTTGGCGTGGGCATTGGCGCCATTTCCATGACGACCGAGCGCGAGAAGGACTTTGACTTTTCACAGTCGTATTTTTCTTCTGGCCTCGACGTCCTGCTCCTCCGCGAGTCAATCAAGCCGAACCTGATGCTCATCTTCCTCCCGTTCGACTGGTACATTTGGATTTCTGCCACCCTGCTGCTCTTTTTCTCGGGGCACGTCATCTGGTGGTTTGAGAGCGACTACCAGCCCAAGATCTTTCCGCGGTCGTACTTGGCCGGTGTCAACCAGGGCGTGTGGTACGCATGGGGCACGCTCACCAAGACCAAGGCTGCTGACCTGCGCGGCTTCCCGTCGCGCATGTTCTCTGTGGGCTGGACCTCGCTGACAATCATCTACATTGCGGCGTACACAGCAAACCTGGCGACAATCCTCATGGTCGAGCAGCTGCGGTCCGACGTCACCGAGGTCTCGCAGCTCAACACCAACGATGTGACCCTGGCGATGGTCGCCGAGTCGACCGCGATTGCGTGGAGCGCTCGCAACCTACCGCACACCCAGTTCAAGGTTGTGCCGTCGATCGATGACGCCTGGGCGGCGCTGCAAGCAGGCGAGGTCCTGGGCATCTTGTTCGACGCGCCGACGCTGCTCTTCCTCTCCAACATGCTCGACCTCGAATCCAAGTTTGACTTGCTCGGCAACCGGCTGACCAAGGACATCTACGGTTTCTTGCTCCACGAAAACTCGCCGCTTAAGGCCGAGATCGACCTGGCGATTATGGACCTCGAGTCTGACGGCGTGCTCGACTCGATCTGGCGCGAGTGGTTCACCCGGCAGCACCAGGCACCGCTGCCTCCAGGCGCGACGGAGCTCTCGTTTACGGCCTTCTCGGGCATGTTTGTCATTGTGGGCATTGGCCTCGCTGCCGCTATTGTCTCGTATGTCTGGCTCGCGTTTGCGCCCAAGGCGTGATGGCGCGATGGCGCACCGGCACGTGTCAGCGACGCGGGTGTCATGCGTTGTCGGACGCTGCGCACGCCGCCGTCTCGTTGTTGGCCGACAGCGGCGACGAGGGTGACGACGAGGGCGACGACGAGGACGACGAGTCGGACGACGACGATGACGACGACGATGACGATGATGCAGTCGACGTGTCGGATGACGACGTGTCGGACGACGACGAGTCGGACGACGAAGAGCCCGATCCGGAGCCCGATCCGGAGCCCGAGTCCGAGCCCGAGTCCGAGTCAGCTGACGACGACGACGACGACGATGACGACGACGATGCCATGGCGTTTTGGATGCTGGCGAGGACGTCGCTTTCAAGGTGCGAGGCAAGTGGCTTTGCCCGCTTGGGCGACGGGGTGAGGCCGCGCGTGTCGTTGGATTCCGCGCTGCGCCCGCGCTTGCGCTTGCGAGCGCGGTCGTTGCCCGGCGTTGCGGGCTCTGGTGCGGCAGCTGAAGTGTCAGCGGCCGGAGAAGCCGTCGTCGTCGCCGCCGCTGCCGCGGAAGCAAGTGCGGTGGTGACGGTCTTCTTGAGCTTGCGCCGAGTGCGACGGCTTCGCTTGGTCATGCTGGCCTGGGTAGCGGTGATAAATGCAGTCATTAGCTCCATAAACTGCTTGCGCTGCGCAGCTTCTTCAGCGATCATTCGGTTGACAGAGTCTTGGGTCCCGAGGATGCGCTCGACGACTCTCTCATGGCTGGCCTGGATCTCACGAAGAAGCTCCAAGTGGTTGTGAGCGGGCGACCGCCCGGGCTCGCGCGAGTCCATGCTGCGCGCGATGGACCAATCTTCGTCACCAGACTGCGAATGCAACAACGGCGAGGGCGCCGCAGAGGAGGCTGCTGCGCGCGGTGGGGTGTCAGGTACAAGGGCGGGTGGCGGGAGCGGGGCGAGGAGCTGAGGCGACTGAGTCGATTGGGTGTTGATTGGCGCCGGTGACGACGGCTTGGAGCGTGGCGGCGGGGTGCTGGGAGCCTCCCGCGCCGCGGCTGCGTCGTCAGCGACAGCAGCGGCGGCAGCGGCATCAGCGGCACGACAGGCGGCATCAAAGGTGGCGACTGAAGCGTGGTGGCTCAGCAGCGTCTCGATCTCGACCTCGCCGCCGGACAAGACCATGTGCATATGGCGAAAGTATGGTAGCGCAGGCTGGACCTCCTTTGCCGTGCCAGCCAGACGGGCCTTCTCGAACAGGTAAGACTTGCGCATGTGGAGGAACTTAACCTGGACTTCATCGGGCTCGACCCGTGCCGATCCGGAGAGACATGCGTTGAGAATGTCAGCGATAGTGCTCCATCCGCGGGCGTCATCGTCGTCGGGCCGGACGTGGGCGAATGCGGCCAGCATGACCGCCATCCTGCCGAGCGTCCAGTGGGTCTTGCTCTTTGCACGGCTCTGGACGTGAGCGACCATAACGATGCCAACCTGTGAGTCACCATCTCCTCTCATCCCCTCTCCCTCATCAGCCCTCGATAACATACAGTGCGTGCGAGGGGATTCCGCCGCGCTCCACCCGGTCCACCCGCTGGCGTCCGTGGCGCCGAGTACGGTAGCCGCGTCCGACTCAGGGAGCTCCGCCGCATACCTCGGGCGTGTAGTGTGACTAAGAACGAGGCCGAGTGGTGGTTGTCCGCTATACTGTGCTGTGCTGGAAATGCTGCCAGTGCCACGCCGAGTGCTCCCTCACTGTCTGGCCGGCCGGACGAGAGCGGTGTGGCCGTCGTCGCCTCGGACTGGCTGGCCGATTGCTAGGCAATGGCAGTGATGAACAGCATGGAGCGTCACTCGCCCCTCTCGCATTCCACTTTCCACCCCCCCCCCCCCCCCCCCCCCCCCCCTTTCCGCTCTCTACCACTATGTAAGGTGCTGCAGAAATGTGCGGCATCGCTCACTCTTGCGCCACGCCACCGGCGGCGGGCGGCATCAGCGCGCCGCCGTTCGGATCGTTGTCGAGGAGAAAGGCCTCGAGCTGTGCGAGGACAGCCGGAAAGTCTGCGCGGCCGTAGCCGAGCCGAAAGTGGCGGTTGTCGTAGTTAAAGGTCGAACCGGGAAGGAGGAGCACACCCTTGGCGTCGACAAGGGCGGCGGCAAAGGCGTCGGCGGTGAGCTCACCTGGAGCCACGTTGAGGCGCGGGAAACAGATCGGCGCCGCCGTGGGGCGCGACCAGACAAACAGGTGGGCGTACGTGGTCATAAACGCAGTGAGGAGCTCCATGTTGGTGGCGATGAGCGCGTTGTTGCGAGCTAGAAGCTGCGAGCTAGCCCTGAGCGCGGCGACCGAGAGCAGCTGTGACGGGCCGGAGCAGCAGATCGAAGTGTAGTCCTTGTACGATAGCAGCGCGTCGTAGAGCGCAGCCGAGCGCGTCGCGAGCCAGCCGATGCGAAGGCCGGCGAGGCCGTACGACTTGGACATGACGCCGAGGCTCATTGTGTGCGAGTCTGAGAGCGTGACTGCGGCCGGCAGCGTGAGCGTGCCCTCGCGCTCCAGCCCCCGGTAGACCTCGTCACAAAGGAGGAGCGCATCGGCGTCCTCAACAGCAGCCACTACCCTTTGCAGCTCATCCGGCGTCAGGAGCGCGCCGGTCGGGTTGGCAGGCGCCATCAGGACCACCATCTTGGGCACCGGCTCGACTGCGAGCGCGGCGACGAGCTCATCGACATCCAGCGCCCAGTCGTCCTCGGGCTTGGCCACCCAAGGGCGAACGTCGACGCCCATGTCAGTCGCAATGTCTGAGAGCGAGGTGTAGCACGGAGTGGCGCAGATCATAGCATCGCCCGGCGCGAGCACAACGCGCATGGCCACATAGATGCCCTCCTCAGCACCGGCAAAGACAAGCACGTTTTCAGGCGAAATCTTGCTCTCGTACACATGCTCGGCAATGGCCGCACGGAGTTCCGGCTCGCCAGGCGACTCGGTGTAACCGAGCGAGAGATTCATGAGCTCTTTCGGATCCATGCCCGCCAGCTCCATCACCTCGCCCACCGTTCGCGTCTCGCAGTCAGAGCAGCAGAGCAGATGCGGCGCCGTAAACTCGTACTTTGCAAAGTACCGCTCCACACCAAAGGCCCGCAAAGGACATGCAAGTGCCATATCACTTCTTGCACCTGACATGCTCCCCTGTCGTGTCCAGAGAGTTGGGTGCCTGAGGTCTGCGGTCTCTGCCTCGGTCACCAGTGGCGACGTTCAGCGAGGTCCGCGGGCGCGAGCAGACTAGCTATCGGCTTTGCCTTGACCAGTCCGATCGAAGGCGGGAGCCTGATGGAATCCAAGTAGAGAGAGGGCAACGGGTGTGCTAGTTATGCGCGGTGTGTGCGATCAGCGCATTCTACCTGCGTCGATGAGAGTTGACGCAGGCTACATTCGAGATGGCTGGCGGTGCGTGCGTGAGTGTCCGTGAGTAGGCCGCCCAAGCCGCGATCCACGCCCGATCTGCCCGCCCATCACTCCCTTCCCTCCTCATGTTAATCTGAACCACGTCAGTTGATCCTCTCTACCATCGTATCGCATGGAACCGCACCGCGCCCGCCCCGACACCGCCTCGTTTGCTCACTGGCTGCTCGCGATGACGGCAGCAGCTGTGCGTTCGATACGAGTACGTCTCTCGACAACAGCCGAGAGAGGCGACTCTGGTACTACGTTGCGGTTAGGGTGGACGGTAATGGCTGAGAGCGGAAGGCTGCGGGGTGTGCTGGGCTTGGTGGCCGACACTCAGTACGCGGACGCTGACGACGGCTGGTCGTACGACAAGAGCGAGAAGCGGTACTTTCGGGCATCGGTGGATGGGACGCGGATGCTGGCGAGTGCATGGGCGGCGCTGCCGGTGTTGGTTGGCGATGACGAACCAGAGACGCCCGAGGCGGCGCTAGCCCCGTTCGCCGTCAGCGGCCGGAGCGGCGACGGGCACGCTACGGAGGCCGACGACGTCGTCTTTGCGCCGCAGATGGTTGTTCACTTGGGTGATGTGGTCGACGGGCGCCACGGGACGTCGCACCTTGTTGACGCCGTTCATGTCATCACCTCGGAGCTCCGCAAGGCTGGCGCGCCGGTTGTTTGCCTTGCCGGCAACCACGAGTTTTATCACGCCCGGGCCGAGGGCGACGCGGCGCGGGAGGTGCTCGCCGGTGCGCTGGGATGGGGCGACGCGACGCTGCGCGGGAGCTGGTCGCTACTGCCTGGCCAGTTACGGGTCATTTGCATCGACACGTACGAGATCTCGGTCATGGGTGCGCTCGGCGGACTCGAGTCCGAGGCTGCCGCCCAAGCGGCTGCGCTCCTTGCGGCGAACAACCCCAACGAGATCAAGAACTCGCCCGAGGGCCTGGTTGGCAACGACGCGCGATGGGTGGCGTTTGGCGGTGGAACAAGCGAAGCGCAGGTCCAGTGGCTCGAAGCCGAGCTCGCTGCCGCGGCTACGGCCGGCGAGCGCGCGGTAGTCTGCTCGCATGTCCCACTCCATCCGCGCGGCGCGGAGCGGCCGACCAACGTCGTGTGGAACTACGAGGCGTTTGAGTCGGTGTTGACGACGTACGCCACCGCCGGCGTGCTTGTTGCATGCTTTGCCGGGCACGACCACACCGGGGTCTTTGCTCTCGCAGAGAGCGACGACGACCCGCTGCCGCACTTTGTCACCCTCCCAGCGATTCTCACGTCGCCACCGGGTACGACCGCCGGCGCACTGGCGCACATCTACGACGACCGAATCGAATTGGTCGGCTTTGGCAACTGTCCAAGCGCGCGGCTGCCGTTCCGGAAGCGCTAAATCGCCTAGCGCTTGCCGCGCTTGCCCTTCTTGGCCTTTTTGGCCGGTGGCGGGTCGTCGGCGTGCGCGTCCGCAAACATCGACGGCCAGTACTCGGTGGCGTACGGCGCGTCGGCGCGGGCGCCCATCGACGGCGGGTGGAACCAGTAGTTGACCGCCATGTGGATGGCACGCGGCTTGTCCGAGAACGACGTCACCTCGTGGAACCAACCGGCCGGCAGATACAGGACGTCACCGGCGCTGAGCTCGGCTACCGCGTGCGGCAGACTCGCATCAAAGAGCGGCGCGTCAGCCACCAGTGGCCAGGGCTTTGGCCCGTGTCGGGCGTGGACTGCGGGCGTCGGGATGCGTGAAAAGTGATCGGGCTCGGGCTCGGGCTCAGCGGCGGTCTTTGCAACGGCGGCGGCCGGCGGCGCCGCGGCAACGGAAGCCTGCTGGCTCGAAGCCGTCCCTGGTCCGCCGCTGTCATCATCGGCCCACTCGTCGGCCCACTCGTCGGGCCACTCGCCGTCAAAGACCGGAAAGTCATCGTCTCCGTCGTCATCGCCAGCGGCGGCGCTCTTCCGCTTCCGCTTCCGGCCGCCGGCGGCCATGTCGAGCATGCGCTCAAGAGCAGCGTCAATGTCGTCGTCGTCCTTGGCGGTGGCAAGCGCAGACTTTGTCCGCCACGCCTCGACGTCTGCGAGCGGGGCGCCGTTTTCGTCGACAGGCCCAGCGCCGACGTAGTTGATGCGGCCGTTGGGCGCAACACCCGCCAGCTCTCCGTATGTCGCCAATGCGCCTGCGGCCGAGGGATCAAAGAGAGTGAACCGCTTGCGACCAGCGGCGAGAACGTAGATGTTGTCGTGAAAGTCGTGATGGAGGCCGGACGACGAGCCTGAGGCCGACGAGCCGAGCCACAGATGCATCGACTGCGGGACAAGGCTGCCAGCCAGCGCAGGACGGATCGGAACGAGGCCCGAGTCGACCAGTGCAGGGAGTGGGGCCGAGATGTGAACCCGGCCCGGAGGCGGCGGGCCAGCAGACCGCCACCCGCTGTCCTCGGGCTGGGTCGAGATGTAGAGTGCGGCACCGGCGGCAAGCTCGTCGAGCACCTCGTTGAGCGGCCGGAGGACACGCTTGCCGCGGCCAAACTCACGGCCGTCCTCGGGCGCGTCGTCACCGGCGGCAGCGACCTCGACATGAACCGCAGCGTCACCGGCGGCGTCGGCGAGGAGCTCGGGCGTGAGCTGGGTGAGCAGAGCGCCAAGGTCCGAGTCGGCCGGGAGGCCGCGGATGATGGCGGGCTTGCGGACCGCGATGTGGGCATGGTACAGCGAATGCGCCGTCGTAGTCGCACCCGAAAGCACAGGCACCATCCAGGGCTTGCCGGACGGAGCCGGCTGCGGGAGGCGGAAGCCGGCGTACGCGTCGCGGGCCGCCATAACTTTGCCACGAGTTGAGTCGAGTGAAGCAATCGATTGTCGTTTGTCATCCATTATCACGTCATGTCACGAGTAGGTCACGAGCAGGCTCGCGGTGTGATCGGACTTATCGACTTTTCCTGCCTTCTAGCGGACGAGGCACACGTGATGTCGTCATGTCCACGTTCTGATGTGTGGTGATGGAGGGGGGGGGGG